ATTACTACTGAGTTAAGAGTAGTTAATTAGTATTTTTCTTTAATAAACACACATAATTTATCTTATATCTTATCTTATTTCTTCTTGTTCTATTGAGAGAGCATTTTGGTTAAAGTAAATTTACGTATATTATCTTATTGAAAAGATAATCATATTTTTGTTAAGAAGTAAAATATGTATAAATTATCTTATTGAAAAGATAATCATAATTCGTCAGTTATAAATTTTACACATATTACCTTATTCAGAAAATAGTTAGTCATATAACCCCCTTGGACCTATAAAAGTAAACAATTGCCATGAACACAGTTACTATTACCATTTTAAAATAATTACATACGCATAATCTTAAAACGGTAACAATACCAAATCAAACACAGACTTTCTGCACCCTATCATCCTCAAATTAATGGATTAGTTGAGAGATTAAACCGAACCTTGTGTACTTCATTATCAAAATATAGCAGCAGGAAGTGCAGACAGACTTTTTTTTTTGCTAAGTGTAATTTTATGTGCTTTTTTACATACCTTAGTCCGCAAGTTATTTTACTTAAAATCACCAAAATCGATAATATTTTTTTTTATATATCAGAAATCGATACCCAGAAACACGTTCTAGAGGCAGTGTTTTTTTCTTTTTTAAACTGGCCTCTAGAAGCCCAAGAACTATAATTTGTTTTCTTGACAGAGCGAAGCAATTTAAAACTTAAGAGTTATAATTTGCTTCCTTGATTAGAAATCTATCTAAAACCCTTAAATTATATAATGTGTTTTCTTAACAGAGCGAAGTGATTTAAAACTTAAGATATATAATTTGTTTCCTTAATAAAAAAGATGCTTAAAACCTATAAGTTTTATAATTTGATTACTAAAATGATTACTATCCCGGAGGAGCGTAGCAACTCCGAATGCGAAGCGAAGCGGAGCATAGTTAACTTATTTTTACACCTAACACATTGATGTGTGTCATCATCTATTTTTACACCCTCAGTCTATGAGTTTTTAGCGCTAAGATTATTAAAATCGATAGCAATGTATTTTGACATGTTATTTTTAGATCTTCAGTCTGCGAGTTTTTAGCACTAAAATCGATGTTATCCAGTTATGCTAGATGCATAAGCATTCTCACTCCGTGAGTTAAAATACTATCAAAATATAATCACTTATGTCCACTAGTATTCTTGCTAAGCTGGCGAGAATAAAACTGCAAAACATAAAACCTTTTTCCTCTCTAGTTCGGAAAAAGAAAAATAGTTAACCTAATTAAGATCTGGCTTGAGTAGGTACTGTGAAAGGTGGAATATAATATCTACCTGGATACAAACTTGTGGGTGGACAGGATATATAAGTGAAATAATATTTTTATTTAAACAAAAGATCTGAATAATTAATATATAATAAAAAACACTGGAAAACATGGTAGGTAAATGCCCAGGATGTGGATGGATCCCTAAAACTGGGAAAACAAGAGATCTTAATAAGCATATGGATCTAACACGAAATAGACTATGTCAAGCTTTATTGCAACTATCTCATAATACTCAGCCTATACCACAAGTAACTGTACTGGATTCCAATGCTAGAAAATCAGGTGAGTCTGTTAAACAATGGGGATCGAGATTACGAAAAAGACTAAAAGAAGTGATTTATCAAGATTATCCTCAACCACAAAATTTATTTCAATGCAAGCATCTTTATGATCAATTATTGCAAGTTGATCCAGAGGCATATGTTTCAGAAAAACCTTTAATGGAAGAAGAAAAGTGTGAAGAGCAAGGATTCTTTGATGAACCTGAAATCGAGGAAGCAAATCTTCAGCATGACCCATCTCCAATGGTACAGCCAGAAATCAATCCCGAAGCTGGTCCAGGTCCTCAAACCCAAGCTCATCGTGAAGGTAGACTTACTGAATCAGAAGAAATAGTAACTCAGACACAAAGTGTCCTGCTCCGCAGACAAACACCATCAGATAATACAGAATTGCAATCTGTTCAAGAATTGCTTGATCACAAAGATAAATTTCTAGATTTAGATATAGAAGTACCATGGCCAGTCCCATATCCCGATAACAAAGAACATTGTGTAATATGGCAAAATGGAATTCGGACTGCAAAAGATATGTTCAAGGTAGATGGAGCTGAATATGCTTTCTCAACCTGATTTACAAAAGCTAAAGAGATAGATCTGGCCAGTATAATATTAAGAGCAGAAAATGAAGATAAAGCTATGCAGGAGGTGTTTTTACAATGCCTATTTCGGAATTATTCAGAAGAAGAAATCAATGAAACTATAAAATTGGCAGTAGATGCTTATAGAGCATTCGAAAATGAAGATGAAGCTATACAGGGGATATTTTTACAATGCCTATATTGTAATTATTCAGAAAAAGAAATCAATGAAACTATAAAATTGGCAGTAAATAAAGGATATAAAAACTGGTTGAGATATGTGGAAGATCAAATAGAATCAAAAAAAATCGAAGCTGGAATGACCGAAAAGCGAGCACAAAGAATATTAGATACAATTGATAATCATGAGTATTTAATAAGAGTAAAATTCATTCGAGACGATACAGTAATATCAGATAAGGGAACAAAAAAAGGCTTTAAAATTATTGATAAATATGAGCCTATTCGTGAATCAAAAAAGGCAGGTGGAAAATATGTCGGGGGTGGTCCAAACGTTATACTTACAAA